ATATAATTTCCAGTTCTGGTCCCCACAATTCAAGGAAATCAAGGACAGATTAAAAGCATACAAAGGAAGGCCACAAAAATGATCAAATATAAGAAAGAATTTTTTTACAGGGGAAACAATCCTCCACTTGAACAGGATGTCCAGGGGTATGTCAGTGTCCCTGTCTCTTGAGATTTTCCAAATGTGATTGGGCATGGTGCTAGATAGTTTTCTGTATCTCTAATTGGAGCACTCTGTCTCATGAAAGATTGGACTCCACAAACTTTTGAGTCACTTCCAACCTGGGCACTTTTATGACTCTATCACCTTTTCACAATCAGATTTGGACATGTTTGTCCACATGATTTCTTGTCAGGTATTTAAATAAGTAAAATAAAATATGCAAATGTAGGGCATATGAAAAAAGAGAAAGGAGACATGATTCTGTTGCTAGTGCAAACAATGTATGAAAAATTGTGGCTGACAAAGTCTTCAAAGATTTCTTCATCATACAGTTCTACAGATCATCTGAATTAGGATGAAGCCTCACATTATGAGATGCCTTTCTCATCTTCCTTCCTTCCTTCCTTCCTTCCTTCCTTCCTTCCTTCCTTCCTTCCTTCCTTCCTTCCTTCCTTCCTTCCTTCCTTCCTTCCTTCCTTCCTTCCTTTCCTTCCTTCCTTCCTCCTTCCTTCCTTCCTTCCTTCCTTCCTTCCTTCCTTCCTTCCTTCCTTTTTTCCTTCCTTCCTTCCTTCCTTCCTTCTTCCTTCCTTCCTTCCTTCCTTCCTTCCTTCCTTCCTTCCTTCCTTCCTTCCTTCCTTCCTTCCTTCCTTCCTTCCTTCCTTCCTTCCTTCCTTCCTTCCTTCCTTCCTTCCTTCCTTCCTTCCTTCCTTCCTTCCTTCCTTCCTTCCTTCCTTCCTTCCTTCCTTCCTTCCTTCTTCCTTCCTTCCTTCCTTCCTTCCTTCCTTCCTTCCTTCCTTCCTTCCTTCCTTCTCCTTCCTTCCTTCCTTCCTTCCTTCCTTCCTTCCTCCTTCCTTCCTTCCTTCCTCCTTCCTTCCTTCCTTCCTTCCTCCCTTCTTCCTTCCTTCCTTCCTTCCTTCCTGGCTTCCTTCCTTCCTTCCTTCGTTCCTTCCTTCCTTCCTTCCTCCCTTCCTTCTTTCCTTCTTCCTTCCTCCCTCCCTCCCTCCCTCCCCTCCTCCCTCCCTCCCTCCCTCCCTCCCTCCCTCCCTCCTCCCTCCCTCCCTCCCTCCCTCCCTCCCTCTCTCCCCCTCACTCTCTCCCTCATTGCCTGCCTGCCTGCCTTTCTCCCTCTCATTTTACTTTTCTCTGCTTCATATCTGTATTTTACTTAATTTCTCTTTATTTTGTTCTATTTTCACAGTTATGTAATAAGTTTCAGATATCCCATAATTAAGGCCCTAGAAACCTTCACAATGAAAGCTTCAGTGAAAGTAAATTTTAAGTGAAAAGAAATTTAACCAGTAACTTGCTTTAGTTTGTAAGCACATCACATGTATTAATTTTCATGAATAAAACCAGACACAGCTACCAATTTATAAATATGAATGTGCACATTCATAAACTTCCTGTAAATGTACAACAAAGTTATCTACACTGGAAAAGCATGCTTGAGTCTCATCAATTTTGTTAATGAAGAAATGAGGTGCATATATATATATGAAATTACCATGCTACAAATAGCACCTGGGAGGAACTGAAGTAATAGTATGAAAATATTAAGCAAAAGAAATGAAAAATATTTTCTATTTTATTGTTTCAGTAGAGCACTGCTAATCTATAGAAGCAAACAATTTTAAAAAGTCCAATGATCTTAAACTGTACTCCGAATCAGAATGTGCATGTCTTAACAGAAAGCATGTATCATTCTTAGCAATGATGATTGAGTATTGCACTGAATTTTTAAGGATAATTCTTGTGAACAACAAGGAAAAAAAAAAAAAAAAAGAAAACAGTTCAACAGTTTATATTACTTACTCATGACTGGACCTATTTCAATACATTTTCCATGAAAGACTTCCAAATGTTCCAAACACATGAGACTTAAAAAGTAGAACAAGTCAGTCATCAAGAAATCACCCCTAACCTGAACTGAAGGACATCAACAGACAAATGCAGTCAGAAGGCATCATACATATCCAATATATCAACCAGCATTCCATTTAATATGATACCACAGAAGGTGAAGATACTACTAATGGGTCTTATCAGCAATTAATATACCTACTTCTTTGGTAAGAGAGAGTGAATAAAAGATATTTCTGTTTATAGAGATTATTCAGGATGTGCTAGGATAACCATAGCTTTCATATTTCCTGACTGCCCTCATGAAACTGTTTCTACATGGAGATAAGTCTTTGTGGGTGACCTTACCCTTTAAACACCATGAGCCCCTTTCACAGTGTACACTGTAGCTGTAATGCTTATATAAAGTTCTTTGAGCTAGAAAAGATTAGTTTTCATTAGTTTTAATTAGGTTTTTTTAAGCAGTTTTGATATTTTTTCCCTGTTGCTAGAAGTGCTGATAATACCTACCTATGAGACATGTCATTCATGTAAGATGTCATATTTGTCCTGGATAACAGTGATGTGAAATGGGGAGAAAGCTTGTCAACATCATTCCATTTCCATTATATGAATTCCATACTGTTTTATAATGTTTTTAATTTAAGCCACCCCCCTAAAAAAAATCTTTTAGAGCAGAGCACAAATTTGGCACTGCACCCTCCCCTTTCTGAGATCTGTTCAAGCAAAAGTTCCGCATACATGCACTTTAATTTTGATGCAACACAAACAAAATTAAAATTCCCATTCCTGCTTTTTATTTGCAGCGTGGATTTGGAAAGATTAGTATATTCAAAACCAGACTAATCTTCTTATGCTTATATTTAGTGATGCGTTAATGTCTGTTCATGATCATTTTGGGAGAATTCTACAGTGCTACTTTCTAGATTTACAGATTAAACTGAATTTAACAGAGTGCTCGGTGGCGACTCCATTTGACTTTAATGGTCTTATTCTCAGTGTGTCACTGACAATAACTTGTTTGTCTTAAATGACCTTTAACACTTTTAGGAAAACAGCATCTGTCTTCTCCATGGTCTCCTTGCCCACATTTTTTCTAGCAGCAGTCAGTTCTAGAGTAGAGACAACACTTTTTTTCAGCTGGGTTTCAACCAAATGTGCCAAGTAGATTTCTGTCTCATTCTATGGCTTCCAGGTGAGAGGAGCAAGAAGTACACATTCTCCAGTATAATTAAAATCTAATACCTCCTGAAGTCAAAGTCTTCCAAACAACGGATCAAAATATTTGAAGATAAAAGTGCCAGTCGCATTTTCCTAGTTTCCCTTCAAAATCCAAAGCTAATTATGATTTGTGGGCCAAGTATTTGTTGGCAACTATGAAACTATTATTTATTTTTCTATCTTGTGCTTAAGCTCTAGCAGTCATAATAGGCATCTTAGCTGCTTGTAAACTAAAGGCTAAGCATGAAAAAGAAGATTTAATGCAAAATTTTTGTTAGACCAATAGAAACTTTGTTTCTGTTTGACAGTTGTCTAGCTGCCCTGTGTTGCAGGAAAACCAGGCACAACAGTAGACTTTGATTTTTTTTTTTAATTTTTTTTTTGTAACAGTCTGCTTGATATCTTCATTTTAAAAAAAAATTATATTTTTTAAATCAAATGTTCCAAACATCCATAGTACCTGTCTTTCACTCATATAACTCTAGTATACTATTGCTGACAACTTATGATCCCATTTTCCTGAAAAAAACCCAACCAACTCCAAATGCTATCTCTGTGATGACTGTAGAATTAAAGCTCACATTGTCTCATAACTATTTAAAGTTAGTTGAAAGCCCACTGGCTTCTTCTGTGATTGAATCGTCATCCTCCCATAAGTTTGAGTTCAAGGATGTCACAGCATCTTTTGAAGCAGCATAATACTGTCAGAGACTGACAAATTATCATGCAGGCCACAATTCTGCTTAGGAAAGTGCTCAGCTTCTCTCTCATTAACATTCCAGATAAGGAAACACCTTTGCTTCTGATTTGCTTAAACCACACCAGCAGGCACTGTACTAAACTCTTCAAAGGCAGCTGCCCTTAACCTTTTATGTTTCAGTGCTTTTCTTTTATAATTCTTTTCAACTAAACTTAAAAGTTCTTGCTTACTTCATTGCCAGTCCCAGGGCAGGTTTGATATAAAGCACTTCAGCCAGAATCTGTTTTGCCCTTCACAACTATTGACTTTTCCTATAAGGCTGCAATTCTTCTGAGAATATGTGTATGCATAGAAACACACATGAAGACACTCACATGGGTCACAGATTTACAGCACCACAGTGCTGCATCTTACCTCAGGAGACAGCCAACTCCTGCTCCTTTTCAGAGCAGGGTCAGCTACAGCAGGGGACCTGGGGAGGGACATGTCCAGGCAAGTTTGAATATATCTATGGATGGGGTTCCTCAGCTCAGTTTGCCTAAGTTTGACTCTGCCATCACAGTAAAAATGGGGCTTCTAATGTTTAACTGGAATTCTGGATTTTTTTTTCTTTCAGTTTGTGCTCTGCTCATATCACTAGACATCACTGAAAAGAGTCTGGTTTGCCCAATATAATAATCATATATTTTTATGATCTCGCTGAGTCCATTCTTCTTCAGATTAACTCTCCCAGTGCTCTTAGCCTCCCACCTCCTACTCCCCCTTACCACATGACAAATGCTCCAGTCCCTTCAACATCTTTGTGATCCTCTGCTGGTCACACTTCTGTCTGTTTGTCTCTGGGAAGCCCAGCTCTTAATACAATCCATGGATGTGGCAGAGATGTGACAGAGAACAAGAATCAAGACTCTTGATCTGCAGACTGTGGTCTTCCTAATGAAGCCCACACGACTGCTGGCTTTCCTTTTGAGAAGGGCACAATGTTTGACCATGATCAGCGTGGTCCCTGCCAGGATTATTTGTTACATCACCTTCCTAGTTACTGAGGTGTGGCCTACTGCCCTCTAGTTCCATGGATTCTTCTTTTTACTGTTCTTGGAAATGATACTTGCATTCCTGAAGTCCTAGGATGATGTATAAACTTGAGGCTTAAAGATAAAATTCCTAGATGAGGAAATACCATGGTGGTACAGGTAAGCAATAGCAGTGTTTTGTGGACATAGCTCAGGTTGTTAAGGATGTTCTGGTCAGTGAGGAAGTGCAGTCCTTCACTCCTCTCCCCAGAAAATTCAAGATGGCAGCTCTGAAGAATTAGTCATCTTTCCTAAATGCAATCACATACGTAGTCTTGAAAGAACCATCTCCTCTCGCTTCCTTATGATATTAGGTATACTCCTAAAAATACACACAATGTAGCATTGATTATGCTTTCTTCATTTCTCAGCCAAGAAAAGATCCTCTTCAAACTGTTATTGACATTACAGTTTTTTACAGCTGACTACAGATTTTTCAGTTTCAATATACTGCTGTCAGCACAATTTTTTCACCTTTCACACTTTTCATGAAACCTAAGTCCTGCTGCTTCATTTATTTCCACACCTGTGGAAAGAAAGGTGGCAGGTCTGGGTGCTTTTTGATCACAATTATGACCTATGGGAGCTGAAAGTAACAGAGGAGTGTTTTTTTTGCATTTTGGGATTTTTTTGAAGTCACAGTATTTCTGAACATAACAGTTGGAATCAAGGTTGAAAGGGCTCAGATTTTATGTTAGGGAAACTAGTAGTTCTATACTTGGAGGAATGAATGAAACCTCACTTCCTAGACTGTGGACACATTCTCTGATGTCTGATAGTGTGTCACAGCTGATAGCCTTATTTTCTTTAAATTAGATTATTAGTAGCTTCTCTGCTTTATGAGGCTATTATCTTTCTTAATAATGCTTCAGTGTATGCTATTCCTTTAACCAAGGGAATATTTCTCATTCACTTGTTTTTATTAACTCTGATCCTTTGAGTTCTGCAATCTTTTGTCAAGTTTCAATGACATTTGAAAAAGGATTCAAAAGAAGGAAAAAAGAATTATTTTTTGCCCTTCATAATAGGAAGGGCAAAAACAGTTTCAAATTTGAACCACAGATTTTGCCTAAGGAAATAAAGTTGGAAAATTACAGACCTCTGCCTAGTGCCTCAGTTCAGGGGGTAAATATAAGTACATGCTGTGATGCTATGCATGAACAGAGAGCATTTTTGGGAAAGGAGAAGCCAGGGGATGTTACACAGAGGAAGCTGCGGCACAGAAGTCTAAATGGGAGACTGCTTTTTCCCCCAGGAGGACTGACTCTATGGTGAATAGTTACTGCCATTGCCAGGGCCGAGGACTTGGGAATAGACCGAGGTGGGAGAGTTCATGGGATGTTACACAGTAGGCTTTAGCCCGTGCCTTACTCCTAAGTAGTTGCAAAGGTCTTTCCATGCTTTTGGATTACAATTAGATAATGCACAGGCTCAGCTCTTCCATCTTCCCTCACACAAACACAAACAGAGGACATTAGAAGTGGAGAGCTTTTGTGACAGGTCTGATTTTTGGGTATACATGGAAGCTAGTTTGGGTATACATGGGTATACAAGTACATGTTCAGTTGTGTTCTGAACACAATTATTTCCTGATTATCCTCAGAGAAGCATCAGCTGAACTTACAATGAATACTTCCACTCAGTACCTTTACACTTCCAACACTGCTTCTCAGTGTTTGTTTCTCCTAGAAAGAGACAATTCTTCCTGCATGCGGGTTGTAGTCATGGCAGGTAATCTATCTCCTTTCCAGTCCTGTCTTTCAGTTGCCTGTATTCAGTTTATTGTATCATCTAGGTATGCTAAAGTCTATAAATATTGCCTGTAAGCTGGGAACAATGCTATTTTAAGAAGAAAAATATGAATGTGGGTATCATCAAGATCTTCTGTTTCTCCACTGCATATCCCATGCTGATACGTAGCTCATCTTTGCTACTTCTGGTGCTAGAATTCCTACTTTAGTAAAAAGTTGAATTTGAAATTTCTCTCAAGCTCTCTTTTCTTCAGTATTTTATATTGCTGACACTAACTTCAAGACACTTTAGAAACACAAATAAACTCTTCTGTAGTGAAGAACAAGACAAATAAAACCCCCGCAAAATAGGAGAGTGACAGATAGTTCTAGCTGCTCTCTAGTGGGACTTTTAATAGATGTAGATTCAATCCCACCCAGACAAGAAATGACAATCCACAGCCAGAGTAAATTGCTTTCCAACACATATTAATAATAAGGGGTCTGATGAAATTCCAGACTTTTGCTGGTGGCTTCCATGCCACCATGCCTTCCAACCTGCAAGTCATATCCTAAATCTGCAATATGCATTAATCTTTCAAAAATTAAAACAGGAAAATACAGTTAAATATTGTTTTTATGTCCAAGTCATCAGAGTAGAACCTTGTGTTTGCTGTTCATATGACCAAAAATAAGTTCAGTATCGATCAGGTCCACTGAAAATCTTAGATTTAGTTCTTTGGAAGACCATTTACTAGGTCAAAAAAACATGCAGATTTTTTCCTAGTTATACAGTACCAACTGATTTGTATTTCATATATATAAAGAAATAAGTAAGAAAAATGTCCCTTGTTTCCTCTATAACCCTTTTTTTCATGATGATGTTGTTTATAATCACCACTGTATGAACTCATGGATGACACCTGTCTAACTCTTTACATTAAGAGATAAAGCTTCAATTATTATGCTGAATTGAAGAGAGAGGTTGATTTACCAGTGTTAAACTTGTTGTGACTCTGTGACCCAGAAATAAGCATGATTACAAAAATGTAGTCCTCTGAAAATTTAAGGATAAATAAAAGCAGCATTTGATTGTCAAAACATGCTTCAAAAGCCTTTGAACTAAACCCCACACCATATTAAAAAACACAGTATGTGAAGGACCAATGGAAGTGGATGGACCATAGACCTGAACTAATGCCAGTTTAAGTCATTAAAATTGTTTCCATTCTCATCAAAAGAATTACTATCAACCTTAAACCATCAAATTCCATGTCATTCCAATCTTACCATTGAAAATTTTTTTTAGAGCAGGGGGAGACGACAGACATCAAGACCTGAAATGGTAGACCAAATTGAACTACTGTGTAGCAATGCAGTAACTGCCAAATTTAAACGACTGGTCTGGAGCTTACTTCTTGAAGGAAAGGATGACTTTGATTTTTTCCATTTCTCGGCAACCTTTCCTGATCTTCACAGTCTCTCAAAGATGATTGAGTGTGATTCTCACAATTGCATGGTCCAGCTCCCCCAGTCAGAGTGTGTACATGCCATTAGAACATGTGGACTTGTGTGAAATCAGCTTGTTTTAATGTTCACTGGTCCGCTCTTTCTCCAGCTGAGGAAAACTTCCAAGCTTTCCTCCTGGTCTCAGGGGCCTGAAAATTGTTGGAAGCTTGTTTTACCAATAAAAAGTGAGCTGAAGAAGGCACTGAGTATCTTGACTTTCTATCCATCCTTTATGCCCAGATCTCTTCCATGTTCATTGGTGGATGTTTCTGTGAAGACCACTTGCAGCTGATAACCTGTAGAAATCTTTCTTGTGTTTCTTTATGCTCCACAACAGTTTTTATTCCAGGCAAGTTTCATCTTTTCTAATCCCACACACTTTTGCACTCAGATAATATCTCTTTCTATTCCTCCCAGGTCACCGCCCTTTCTTTATATGTTTTCCTGGGAGCAACTTTTCCATTCATGCATCCTTCTGTAATCTTTGCTTTATTTCCCACAAATAGGGGTTAGCCATTCCTGAGACCAAAGTAAGTGATACTTGAAAAATCAATGAGCTCTCCTGGACACTTCTCCACAACCATTCTTCACAGGATTCTTACAAGCCAGTCCTTGACGATGTCAAAAGCTACACCCATGAAGTCCAGAGTAGTGGTCTTTGTCTGCTTTGCTCCCTCCTCTCAGGCTCTTGAATGATACCAGTTTGTGGTCACTGCAGTTAAGGCTGCCTTTGACCTTCACACCCTCAGTGAGTCACTCCTTGTTTGTGAATGCAAGATCCAACACAGCTCCTCTTCTCATTAGCTCCTTTACCTTTTAGGTAACTGCCATTGATGCTCTTCAGGGATGTCATGGAGTGATTTTTTTTTTCTACTGTGGTGTTTCTCCAGATGATATCAGGGTAGTTGAATTTATTCATGGGAAGCATGGTCTATGAATTTGAAATCACCTGTAGACTCATCTACTTTTTCTTCCTGATCAGGTGACCAACATCCATTATGCTACTCCTATTGATCTGCTCTTTAAGCCTTACTCGTAAGTTCTCATTTTGCGTATTATCTGTCTGCCCAGGCAGCATCACTGAATAGCTGGGACTGGAAAGGACCTTAAAGAGATCTAATTCCAACCCTCTTTCCATGGACAAGGATGCATTTCACTAGACCAGTGTTCTCAGTGCTCCAGCCAATCTGTCTTTAAACACTTTCAGAGATGGGGCATCCAGAACCTCTTTGGAAACCTGATCCAGATCTTCACCACCCTCACAAAAAAGAATGTTTTCCTTACTGTCTAATGTAACTCTATGCTTTTTCAATTTGAAACCATTTCCTCCTGTCCTTTTGCTAGGTTTTTACTGGTACATGCTCTCGTAAAAAGTCTCCCTGTCTTCTTTCTTGGAGGTTTCCTTCAGGTACTGGCAGGATGCATTTAGGCCACCCCAAAGCCTTCTCTTTTGTGTGCTGAACAATCCAAATTCTCTCAGCCTTTCCACACAGGAATACCTTAATCCTGCTTAGTGAGGTGTACCCCATCTCTTCCAAGTGGATGCTGACCCTGGAAGAGATACCGATGGTCATAGAAACTAAAGTCTTGTTGCTGACATCAGCTCTGCAATTATTGATGCACAGTCTTTCTTCGCAGACTTTCCCATCACTAGAGGATCTGAGGAAGACATTGCTTGGGCCCTCATTTCCCTAAATGCCACTGTCAGAGCTCTGCAATTGTTTTTGATACACTATGGGTTGCCATTGGTGTGTATATGGAAGAAAAGCTTGTTAAAAGTCTCCAGTACTTCTCACCTCTTTTGGAAGCAGCATCTGCTCTGAAGTTACTCAAATAATTCCATTCTTGAAGAATCCTCAAGAGTCTTCAGTGACTTTCCCA